GGCACCATCGTATCAGTTCGCACGCCGTCCCTCATCTGTCCCTCTTCCTGGAATCAGTCTTCCCTCGCTGCCCATGTGGCTTCCCACTCCTCAGACGATGATGGAAGGGTCTCTCTCGCGCCCTGAGTCCCCCATGAGCCACTACGACGCACGTTCCCAGTACTTCGTTAGCCGTCGTCCGTCCAGCGCCGCGCCCATCATGGGACGATCATGGGACATGCCTGTCAGCTTCTACGCCGACGGACCCAGTCCAGATCAGCTGCAGCAGGATAACGAGCCTCTCCCGGACGTCAACGCGGGTATCTTCGAGCAGTCCTTCTTCGACGCCAGTGGCTTCTCATTCGGCGGCCCCTCAGCTCAGGTGCCTGATATGAGCACTGCCTATGGCGCTCCGAACGTGCAGCAGCCCGACCTGGCGCTGAGCATCTCTCCCCTTGATAGCATGGTCAGCGAAGACATGACCTCAGCCTCGACGATCACGTCTGCCGGGTTTTCGTACCCGACTCCGAGCGACTCATCGTACCCCACCCCTGGCGACTCGTCGTACCCGACTCCGAACGACTCGTTCTACCTCTCGGACATGTACTCGACGCTCGACCCGTCGTCCGGCCCATCTTCGGCGTTCTCAGGTTCTCCAGCGCCATCAGAGGCGTCTCTTCCCATGCACCAACAGCAGCAGCAGCAGGTGGCCGTCGTCGCGCCTCAGCCTCAGCACCCCGCTAACGGTGGCTTCGACGCATGGGATCACCAGCAGTCTCAGCAACAGATCGCCGTCGATCACCAGATGGGCTTGAGCTTGGAGTACCCGATGGATCCCACTTCTCAGTCCCTGGACTGTGTCGATCCGGTCACCTACGGGATGGACCTGTACGGGTGTGGCGCGGAGGCGGGTCCGGATGCGTACCCGTACCACCAACACCACCCTCATCACCCTCACGACGATATGATGCAAAGCCTGGATGTTATTGCGCAATACTAGACTTCCTTCTTCCCCGCTCGCGTTTGCGAAGAGACACTCCTCTTGGTTTCTTACTCGTTCTCTTGCTTCCTTCCCTTGCTATACACTTATTCAAAACCTCACCCTCGGCCTCCCATACACATCACCCACGATTACATCCAAGTTATATCCCCATCGCATACCCCCGCCCCTACTGTATCTCTTATCTCTCTTCCCGTCTGCGTCTCCGTTATTCTCTCTCTCTCGATATCTGCCTCGTATCGTCTCCCAACTCCACTGTAGCTTTATTACCCCCTTCGCGCACTCGTTGCGTACGTGCTTCTTGCTTCCGGTCTCTGGTTACCCCCACCACTGTAGCTTTTATACTCTGACTCTCGACTATCGTATACCCCCATGCTTGGTACATAATACTATCCCTGTCCTCGACCCGTTGTCTCCTTCGATGTTTTCATAGTTTTTCCACTCTGTTGCTTGCGTACCTAATGAGATGTTTTTGGCTATACCTCTCGTCTGCGTAACGCGCATGAAGATGAGACCATGGCCAGACTATCGACTCTTGGATGGAGGTTTGCGATCGGCGTACACGCTACAACCCAATGATATTCTTGACACTGACAGCCACTTAGTACAGGAAACTGATGTAACACTCGACGAGCAGGCACCCCTCGTCATTTCCGCCACATGTAATGTGTACCATTTGACGAAAGTTGGAGGAAAGAGTGCCAAGGAAGGAAGGAAAATGCCGAGCCATATTCGCACGGCAGCGCTCATGAATTTCTTCCGCTCTACTGTCTCATCCAAAACGAACTTCTGCTACATCACCCTTGCTTCGCTCTTTCTGCTCAGTACTCGGACCACCGATGGAACAAATCCCGAATCTGGAGACCTATCGACAGGAGTGTTTTGCGGGAGGAGGAGGAGGAGGAGGATATACTCCGGACGCGGGAATTACACTGGCGAACTGACCGTCGCTTTCAAATCGCGACTGCGTACCCACCGCAATATTTCGGACTCGAAAAAATCCTGATTCACGCAGGAGTATTCTGCGCAGATCGGGTGTGGAAGACCCTCAAGCGCGGGATTTGAGGTAGGTATTCATTTTCATGGCATACTCTCGTTTACATAACACTTATGTCGGCTGTTAGAGCAGTTCTTCCACCGTTCGACGACCGGCACGTTCTACCGTCGTATTATGGGATGGCCTTGCTCATGGAAGGGACAGCAGAGGCCTGGTCTCTGTTGCAGCTTCAGCCCAGATCCATGGTCGTCCACCATGCCAGAGCTTCTGAACAGTGTCGCCCTTACTACCGGTCCGTCGCCGTACAAGGAATCCACCTTTTCATGCAATTTGAATCGCATACTATTGTGCGAGAGGCGTCCTCAAAGAATGAGAATGGTGATATCACGGACTCGACTACTCTCTGCCACGAGGCCAGAAATCCTTGTTGTTTCACGTGGAACCAGGAGGACTTGAAAGTCCTGACACGATATTGAAAAGGCCATCCACTATCTGCATCGAGATCGACGTCACAATAAAGTAACTGTATAACTGTGATGCGTCTTTCAAAACCAAGGAATTCATGCAGCAGCGTCTTCATCGCTTCGCCGCCTCGCACGGCCGTTACGGTCGGGTTCGGGTTCGCTTTCCTACGTTGACATCTCTAGACCTCCACATTCATGGCTTCTACTGTCGCAAGCAGTCAAGAACGCTGGTGCGTGAATCGACTTCTTAAGGAAAGATCATTCTCACCTTTGATCATAGAAGGATATCGTCGTCGATTCAAGTTCAATGTTGCTTTGGATGCTTCTCACGTGTCTCACAGCGTTCCGACTGAACGGAATAGAAGTTGTAAATCGCTGTGCGTGTAGACTATCTCATAGTGCGCCACAGACCTGTAGCTAACTGAGTCTCAACCTTACAGCATACGCGGTCTACCGGCAAATAGAGTGGACACACTTGCGACTCAGCGGGATACACAATGCACGCGAATCAGCTTATCCATGTCAGGTCGCACACTCCCAAGGCGCTGTTATTTCTGAGCTGTGAGATGCTGTCGTCGGAAGTAGTACCCATGACCAGCACTCGTTCCCTCCGGCGTTGCGACCGTGTATTCTTTGCTTCTTTCGGGCATCTAAAAGTGCGCATCTATTCACTTTGACGAGCTGTCGGTAACTAACACCGGTCACAGCTGCGTTGTCACTTTCCATGTGGTTTTGCCTTGCCTTGCCTATATATGACTGAATCTACGTGGAAGGCTCAATCCTAACGCAATCAGTTCACCACATACATCCTACGACATGCCAGGATTGACCTCTTTGCCGCCTTTCCCTAATGACGTGCCAACTCATCCACTGTTGATCGTCGACTACCAACTGCTCCTTCAGAAGGATGAAGCTGAAATCAACAAGCTCTGGAAGGCTGCCACCGAGCTTGGCTTCTGGTAGTAAGTCATCGCCGTGCTACATCGTTCTACGACAATTATACTCACCCGGATGTGTAGCCTCAAGAATCATGGGGCTGACGACGAAGTCAACGGCATGTTTGAGATGGGAGCGGAGACCATGGCTCTTCCTCTCGAAGAGAAGATGAAATTCGAGCAAGGCGACGATGGCATGTCCGCCGGGTATGCAGCTTCAAGATGCCTGTAAGCCCTGTTATTGACGTCCACTCCGCAGATACAAAGCCGCCGGATTGGTCGCCACAGACGCAACCGGAGACAAAGACACCGCCGAATTCATCAACATTTCCAAGGACGACGCCCTGGCCTGGCCAGGCTTCGTCCACCGTACGTATCCTTCAACAGTGAACGCACGGATGGAGCCCACCGTCATCCCCTTTGTCCGCAAATCCCTCGACGTCAACGCCCATCTCATGGAAATTTTCAATGAGAAACTTGGTCTACCGGCGGGATCACTTGCGAAATTCCACACTATGGAGATTCCGAGTGGCTCGGAGGCGAGGTGTATCAAGAACCCACCGAAGCCTGAGCAGCCCCCGCAGCCCATCAAAGTGGCTATTGGGGCTCACACTGACTTTGGGTCTCTGGTGGGTGTTTTCCCATCTTATCTGGTCGTCGGGTTTCTGAGTACCAGCGGATGTGTCATGCAGTCGTTCTTGCACAACCGCCTTGGTGGTCTTCAAGTCCTTCCTCCTGGGTACACTGAGTGGCACTATGTGAAGGTATAACCCTCCCTTCGGGTTCTCATCACTAGTATCGGTCAGTTGAATTGACGTCCCGTGCAGCCCATCCCAGGGCATGCCATTTGCAACATCGGCGACTCCCTTGCCATCTTCAGCGGCGGAATCCTGAGATCGAACCTTCACCGTGTCGTGTACGGTGCCCTCTCTCTTCTTACCTACCATACACCGCCTGACAGTCGTTTCTGGTGTAACAGTCCACCACCGCGAGAACAGTCCAAATATGAACGCTGGTCCCTCGTCTTCTTCACGCGCCCCGGCAACACACACGAGCTCCGTGCACTCACCGACGAAAGCGCTATCATCGCCGACGCCGTTGCGAAGGCAGCCAACCCGGAGACGTACAACACGGGCTCGACGGCGGGAGGATGGTTCGCGCGCAGGATCAAGAATCAGCGGTTGAAGAACCGTACAGTGAGTGTCTTTTGCTGCTGTGCCGAGCTCGTATAGAGGCTGATGAGATTCGTTGGCCCGTCTAGGGACCTGAGACGTGGGCTGCGAGTCGCGGCACTGAACATGCTCCTTTGGTGAAGTGAAGAAAAGTTCAGGCTTAGAGTGCCGTTTCTATCGCTGAAGCCTATTCCGTATGATGGCGCGTTTTGCGTTTTCGATCCGACATTTGTCTACCTTGTATTTCCGCTTGATGATGGAGAGTCGCAACAATGTTGAAAGTTGAGATTAAGCACAGTGTACCATACTGTACTGCCGCGACAATCCCTTGCGCATTTCTACATTCTGGGACCTGACATCATCGTAGGACTTCAAAGGTTCATTCTCATAAAGGTCCTTGTTGTAAAAGGGGGAAAAGAAGCAAAAACAAAATCAATGGCGGGGATTTCTTACCTCCCTGGCGGGGAGTCGAACCCCGCTTTCGCGCGAACCGTACACGTGCAAAACCTGCGTCATGACAGGCGCGTGTACTAACCGATATACTACCAGGGATTACAATAGCGGACTTCTTAGCGCTATACAATCTAGATAAGTTACAAACCTAGTCAGAGTCTCGGTTTTCGAACCCACCAGTGGCACCAATATTCCCTTCTCCCTCTTTCGTTTCTCTGCGAGTGCACATCCTTGATTGAAATACACGGTCCATCGTCCAGTCGATCGCGATTTTATCGGAGGACCTGTCACTAGCAGCGTGAACTGTCCACACCTTCTCCATGTCCAATCAACCGAATAATTAAATTCACAAAGCGACAACGCGAGCACATTCTACATCATGCTACAGTGTAGGACGTCGGTATTCAACGTTCAACTAGAGCTCAGCAGCCTCGCGAGCCACGAACTCCTCGACCTTCTCCTCAGCAACCGCAGCGGCGTCTTGCACAGCACGGAACGCACTGATGACGTTAGCCTTGATCTTGAGTTCGTCGAGCTTCGCGTCCGAGAGCGTGCGCTTGGCGAGGATGCTGTTCAGCCTACACAAGCCGCACCGTTTCCATAAGCTTCCGTTCAAGCATGATAACAAACAAAGAATAATTTACACACCTCTTAGACTCCTTCTCCAGGTACTCCTCCGACCCGTTGACGACCTTCTCCATCACCTTGATGTAGTGCTTCGCGGCGGGACCGACCGACTGGGCCAACGCAGCAGCGTCTTGGAAGATCTCCTGGCGCGTCGCAGCGGCAGCGTCGAAGAACTTCTGCGCGAGGGTGTCGAACTCGGGGAGACGGCCGGCTGCGTCGTTCAAGCCTCCCGCGGGAGACCGCTGAGTGCCGCACTTCTCGTTGAGGTACTGCACAAAGGCCTCCTTGGTGCGCTCGCCTTCATACAATTCAGGATCCTCTGTGTACAGGGAACGTGTGGGTGAGTAAGTGTGAGGTGGTGAGGATTGGAGACGTACCTTTGTTGCCCTTGGGGAAGAAGTAGATGGTGGGGAAGCTGCCGACGCCGTATCTCTCAGCCAAGGGGCGGTTGTTCTGCGCATCCGCATCCACGTTGGCCAAAACGCACTGCAACGGGCACGTTAGCGTTTGTACAACATCTGTCTCGGATATCACATACGTTCGACTCGGGAGCAAAGACCTTGGCAGCTAGTGTCCAACATGAGCACACATGCACTGTAAGTTCAGTTGGTAATGCACATACCCTCCTCGTAGAAAGGCTTGAGTCGCTTGCAGTGACCACACCACGGGGCAGTAAATGTCACGAGAACATCCTTATCCGTATCCAGAGCAACCTCATCGAAAGTGTGAATATCCAAGACCTTATATGCGGGTGGAGGCGGAGGCTTGATGTTCGACTTGACACCCGACTTCGTGGTAATGCTATAACACAGACTCAGTCCGACACTCTCAGCGAAACACAAAGAATGAATGACACTCACAAGCCCGCCAAAGCATCCAAATCACGGCCACCCTCATACTTCTCCGCCTCGCCCTCGGCATTGAACCACTTCAATGCTGACAAACCTCCGTCAGACACGTAGTCGGCGTTACCACACGACAAATACACGTACTTGGGAAGCCAGTGACACCGTACTCCTTCCCTAGAGGCTTGCCAACACCATCTGCATCCACCTTTGCAATGACGACTTTGTCTTTTGCGTGTGAGAATGCGTCTGCGAGTTGCTCGTATACGGGAGCGAGGTTCTGGAGAGTGGCTTGGTCAGGACGCGGGCTCATGCGCAACTCGTACAAGACGTACTTTGCAGTGACCGCACCATGGCGCAAAGCTGTGAAACGGTTGGAATCAGCACTCGGATGTTTAAACCGAAGACCAGCGTGACTTACAACTCAACGAGAGCAGGCTTGCCCTTCCCAACAATATCGTGAAAGTTATCCGGGGTCAAGTCGAGCACATTGGAGGCGAACGCGCCCCCGAGCGACGCTACAGTCGCGAGAAATGTGAAGGAGAATTTCATCGTTGAAACTCGCCTATCCTCGGAGAAAATAGAAAGGAAGGGAGGGAAGAGGGTATGAAGGAAGAGACGTGGCTGAGAGTGCTTTATGAGAACCGGCGACGTGGAGGTGGCTCACACTGGAAAAGGCAAGAAATGGGATTGGTCAGCGCGATGGCCGAACGTATACCCGAACCGCTTACCGTGTTGCACACCTTGCTCACTCCTACCTGAGTACCTCTGCCACTTCTGCTCACTTCCGCTTTCTACATCGCGTTCATCCTCAATAGCTCTGAATCCACACTGCGATACCCTATTTACTGCTCTACACGTATCGCAGTGGCAATGTGGACGAGAAAGGGCGATTTTTGCAACATGGGAATGTAATGAATGGACAACCGGACTTCGCGCGCCCTCTCTAGTCCGGGTAGCGGTACGTGCGAGAGCGGGCTGTATATTTTCCAGGATGCTGATTCCTTCTCTCAGGTGTAAACGCACTGTATCGCATAGAAATGTGTAGATGACCACGATCCCAACCAATAGAAACAAAGCTGTTTCGCCATATGTCCTTGAAAGTGGACTGCATTCGACGCGTCGCAACAGCGCTCATCCTCAACACACCGTATAACTCTACGAGTAATTCCTCTGCTATTGGATGTCGACTATGGATTCTCAAGGAAATGAGAAGATGGCGATAAGCCTGGTGAGCAGCAGTGCTTCATCGTCCAAATACTCAGATTGGCTGACTAGATGTGGTGCAAAGCCGCCTCGTCTGCTATCCAGTGTACAACGGAAGAATCAAGTTCATCGTTGAAAATACCCCCTACGCGTACAATTTGTGCCTCTACACTGGAATCAGTCCCCCAATGGATACGGATGAAGGATCTGGCCATAATATAGCTCTGCCTCCGCACTCGCAAGGAAGACGTAGGACGGTGCGATTTCGGACGGCTGCCCCGTTCTGCCAATCTGCGACTTCTCGCCGAAGCCTTCCATTTGGTCTGCAGGGCGTGAGGCGGGTTGGAGGGGTGTATGAACGGGCCCTGGTGCGACAGCGTTGACGCGCTAGCAAAGGAATGGCGAACGTGAGCACCATCCTCAGTCATGACAGGAAGATGGCTTCTTACAATCCCTTTCGGTGCCAGGTTCTTTGCTAGCGCACGCGTAAAGCCGACGATGGCACCCTTGGTCGAAGTGTAGTCCACCATCGAAGGGCTGCCTCTGAACGTCGTCACGCTCGTGGTGTTGATGATACTCGATCCCCTCTTCATATGCGGCAGCGCAAACTTCGTCAGCGCGATCATCTGTATGATGTTGCTCCTGAACGTGCTCTCCACAATATCCAGATCGATATTGGCGAAATCCTTCTCCATGGTCTGCTTCGACGCGTTGTTGACCAGGATGTCGAGCGTGCCGAATTGGTCGATGTGTTTCTGGATCACTTGGTCTGTTTGGCGGAAGTTCTCGAGGTTGAAGGCGATGGAGAGGCCTTGGCGACCTTCGCGCTGGATGGCTTTCACGGTGTCGTCTGCGTCCTTTTGCTCTTCGGGGAGGTGTACGATGGTCACGTCGGCACCCTCGCGCGCGAACAGGATGGCGACGGCCCGACCAATGCCCGAGCTATACGACGGTCAACAACTGCATCTAGGAAAGAAAAGCAAGGCACGTACTCTCCACCGGTGATCAATGCCTTCTTGCCCTTTAGCTTCCCTACACCAACGTACGGCTTCGGCCCACTCGCCGTCTCCAACTTGGTGTCAAACGGCTCCGGCGCCATGTCCTTCTGCAACCCCGGCAGATTCTGCTCCTGCTTCGGGATCTTCTGCTTCAACGTCGTGCCTTCGTGCGAAGTCATCTTGGGCCCGGTGTATGACGAGAATGGTTCCGTGGTTTTTACTGTGGTACGGAATGCGGACACTAGTGTGAATGGTCGATGTAAGAAATGTGCTTGGAGGTGGCGAGCAAGCATCGTGCGGTCTATATAGTCTCGCAAATGTGGATGCTGTCTCTTTTTAGCTGGGTCCAAGGTCTCCACTGTTTCGCCTTGTCGACATAACGATGAGGACAGCTCTGACGTCACGCTTGCCAAGTTACAAGTTGACTAGCTGCGTAGTCGGTGCGCTTCTTCTCCATGGGACACCGGCGCCTAGGGCGCCGGAGGGCTGCCGCGTGTCCCGGGACACGGGGGACACGGGGCGTGACCTGAGGACCCCGCGCACCGAAGGGCGGGGAGGGCGGGGGAGGGCGCGCGGCGGGAAACAGCGCCGGGAAAGGGCGGGCAGCGGCGCAGATGGCCGGGAAAGCTCCCAGTAGGTGGCCGGAGGGTCGGATGATCTGGAAATGTGATTAGATTTGCTCGAAATGTCGGGGGAGGTCGGGATCACGCCAAGGCGTGTCCCATGAAGGTGTAAACTCGACTTTTTCCATGGGACACGCTCGCCTGCGAGGCTCCTGCGAGAAAAGTCGTGCCCCACGAAGAGGTAAAGTCGATCGCTCGCCATGGGACACGCTGGGATACGCTTGGCACCGTCGGAAAAGGCGGCAAGACCTGATGAGGACGTAAACGACTTCGCGTCCGGCGCGAACGCTGATTTCGACCGTTCGACGCGTTTCCTGAGCTCAAACTGCGGGTGAAAATACCAAAAATTTTCTCATACGAGCTCTAAGGATGTAGCTACACGGTACACCACACAAGAGTTGACTACAAGGGAGGCGGGACGTGGAAAACGCGTCCTTCCACTTCGGCGTGACTTCGCGCCATCATTCTCCAGCGGCGCTCGGCCAGTAAGCGCCCCCGGACACTCCGTCGGACTTCTCCGAAATCGTGTCCCAGGTCGAGGTAAACGTTGCATGTCAAACGCGACCGTAAAAAGCTTGTTCGCTGCACGGTATAACACATGAACTACTGTCAGTGGGCTTGGAGAGTGCTGTTCTGCGGTAGTCTGGCCAGAGGCGGGGCAAAATGGTCAGTCGATCCCTCATTGGACGCACTGGGAATTGAACCCAGCACCCCCCGCAGACATTTGTGAAATGCTAAGCGGATGTGATAACCAACTACACCATGCGCCCTTGAACACGTGCCTTTTTACTGCGTCTATGATTAACTGTTAGACCCTGAATTGCTACTCCGATTCCGAGGGACCGAAGGATGATGTCGCATTGCAAAAACGTGTTTGCTTCCTGCCGCCACACCGTTCGCCACAGTTCACTTCGCCCGAGGCTCGTACTGTGGCACGGAGCGCATGAATGAATCGCAAGATTGCGTCTACGGAAAGGAACCTATTTTTTCAAGGTGCGCGTATCTCGAAGCCGCAGTCGCGTTCTATCCGCTCGATCCGCTGTTCGTAAAGCTGCAGGAACTGGGTGGAGTCTAGTACGAGCTCTGAACGTGTGCCACGCATGTCGACTCGGTCATATAAAAGGTGTCTTTGCTCTGCCCATGCTGACGGTCGGGGCCGCTGACCATTCCGGGACCGGATTCATCGAAGGGCAACTTTCTGGCCGGTTGTCACGTTCCGATGGATGCGTTTGCAGAGACTTTCTTACGCCCTTCTTTGCTAGATTTTGCCCTGCTCTTGACTTCAATGAGGTCTCACACCCATTGCCTCCGACCCGCAAGACTTGGAGCTGGCTAGCCATACCACTACACCATCTCTGCGGATACACTTTCCAGCACGGTGGACTCTCCTTGCAAGGTTTCTGACTGGAATATCCGATCTCCAGTAAGAGCTCATCTAGTTGCGAACGCGTCACCCATTCTTGGACCGAACCTGCTTTCCCGACGCGATGGCTTGCATCTCTGAGACAAACAGTGCAGTGGAACATGGACCATCTAGCGCACCGGACTAAAATATGGTGTGTTAGCATCTTATGGTATATCTCTGTGAGCTACAACTGATACTGTTGGATGTAGACGTAATTCATAACGCCGGGTTCGCAAGAAAATGAAGCCCGTAGTCCCCCGACTCCGCCGAGAGACAGACAGCTTGCACACCGATGAGATGGTCACGTACAGCACCAACGTCACGTCGCACTCGTTCTGGATGTCGTGGGACGCAAGCGGATGGTAACGGACATGATAGATACGTCGGTATCAAAAAGCATCTGGGCGATGAAGCAGCCTTACTTCGTTCTCGTTAATCATTTCTTCGGTGAGTCCTGCATATACTATCACATTTGACAGCTCGCAGCTGATTGCTGCATCTCGTCCAGGATTTTACCGTGACTCAAAACAATGATGTTTTCGTTTCATATGACGTACTTTGGCGTATCACGGTCAATCTGATTCCACAAAATACGACTCCTCGGTTTCGATTTTACGGTCGCTTTGGCTTTGGCTTCGCTTTTCTTCACAGTGCCGATACTCGACCAGCTTCAGGATGGTGTTTGGTCAAATGAAGGTGCGAATATGGTCAAACCTATCCCATGTTGAACATCTTCTGATTATGCATTCGCTGATTACAATAGGGAATACGACCTTCGACAGGAACGATCCATTCGTGTTGCACTCTTGCAAGCGAGTCGCTGGCTTGAAGCGAATTGCGAGTCTTCGTTGATGTAGTCAAATGCGGCTGCTAGGTATGCACTTCGACTCGTATCCCACCACCACGCAAAATACTCATCATCAACCAAATTTTATTCGCAGAATACTTTCTGCTATCTAATGGCCGTGAAAAGCTCTCTTGTACAGACGGTTCCCTGAATGCAATGAAGATTCCTCGAATCTCGCAAAATGACTGCAGAGGTTCGGCAATAGGCCCATGCTGTATATACTTATGACCGCCGTGCAAAAGAAGGAGCTGCTTGGACATCAGCGTACAACGAGTTAACATGCCGTTTTTCTGACGCATTCACTGTTCACTGGTTTTATTTCGCTCTGCAGTCATCACTTGATCGGGTCAATTACCGGTTCCAGAAGCATAGATATTAAAGCTCCCCGTCCACCACTTTCATCTCATTTCTGTCATGAAAGCCGACTATTCACAGTCATAGTTCACCGTCGATTATCAATCCGGGTGCAGGTCCTACCATGTAAGTAACAGATTCATATGCCATCATGCCAGTCTACCCACACTTCTCGATTTGGCAGGGACTTACAGCCAGATGAGCCAATGCCGTGGCTTGCTTGCTTACTTCTCCTCGGTCATTCTTCACGACGTCGGAGACCCGCACGGTATTGCATGAATAGAGAGGTAGGATTTCCGGCTGGTCTGAGATACGAATCCGAAGACCCTAGTGGCGCTGACATCGGAGAACCGTCAAGGCAGACAATGGATGGCTGCGTCGTCGATACTCACGCAGCTGGATAAGGTCGCAGGAGCACATTGTCACCGGCTTTACCAGGACTTTGAATGCGCCTTGGATCAGACCGAGGTCAGGGTATGGGCTGGTGTGAAGTTGAGCGCAGGTATTGATAGGTGCGTTGCACGCTGCGGCTGATGTGTGGACAAAAACTGACGGCTTGGAAGCAGGTTGATTGCAGGCAGCTCAATTATTCCGCCGTGGTGCACGCAGTGGGAAGGTCATTATATGAGATTGTTCAGTATGGCTTTGAATGAAAAGCTAAATTGAGCAGATTGTCCAAGGATCATCGGCCTGCTGGTCTGCTCCAAACGCCACGAAGAATCTCCCTATAGACGTCGAGTCATGCTGGAGTGGACGAAGCTCTAGAAAGGTGCGGTCAAATTGAAGCCTTCTACTGTAATGAGTTCATCTGTGCGAACAAGATGACCCATCTCCCGCTACACGTTGTGTTTATTTCACCTTCTCATTGATTCATCGTTTTACAGCCGCTTTGAAAGGTCCGTTTCACCAAGCCGACGCTAAGCAGACAAAGGACTTTCTACGACCAGTGTCCCACAACGAAGCATATCTGTTGATGCTAGTAGGCCCGGTCAATGCTTCGGTTTCCATCAAGCTGCCTTAATCCGAAATGCCTCGGTAGCTCCACGACGCGTCTTCTCAAGCATCTCATTGATTCGGAACCTCCTGTCAAAGGCCGAGGAGCGGTACAATATTATGTCGGGCATCGTGCTTTGATCAGGCGGTAAGACACAATGGACTTTGATGCTCGTCAGTCCCACCGTGAAGCCACTGGCAGTCCAGACGTTCTAACGAGCAGATTCATTGACCACGATCGTACCAACGCCGCTTATGCACGATCATTTTCAAAATACGTTGAGGGTGCACAGTGGGTCCAACGGTTCGCGGGAGCATATCACGCTGACTCCAGTTTCCTTATGCGCTAAGAAGAAGACGAATTAGTGACATGTGGGTACGCGAAGCCCGATGACTGCATGGCTCACACAAAGTTCAGGGCACCGTCAAGGTTCTTGGATTACAGAGCACACGAACGCCGTAGATGGACACGGACGCGGACGTCCCTTCGAAATGGGGTATGTTTCAGCCAGGGGGCTGGGAATTCCGAAAGCAGATCAGTAGGTTAGAGTTCAGAAGTTCGAGAGACAAGCTCGGCTCCCATACCGGAAATGGTGTGAGTAGATGCACTTATACCACATCGCTTGATTGATGGGCTGCCTCCGGAAGGTATCTTAACATATGTTAATCATTGAGGGTTCGGGACTCCACAGCCGCAGCTCGTTGAAGTCTACGGTCTGGACTCTGCGATGTCTGCCATGGATTGCGTCGAGGAACGAAGGTCAAAGTTGCGTGCATCTAGTCTACCACAAGCAGTGCAGCGCGCCATCCATATGTTCGCAATGATCTCATGGTTCTAGATCTTTGACCACATGAGCGCCATGGTACCACAAGAGAAGGTCCTCGGAACGAGCACACCTATTAGGGCTCCGGCTCCGTCGTCGCGCTGCTGAGTCTCGTCATGAGGGGGACTCTTGAGAATGGAAGGGATATCCGCTAACCGATTTAAAGCCGAAGCAAATCTAGACCCTGTGCGGAGACGGCACGAGTAAATTGAACGTATTCGAGGCTCTTGTGGACACCCAGATTGTGCAAGCAAAGCAATTTCATCGCACTGGAAGTTAAGGTACACTGCCATGAGGCCTAAGGGGCACAAACGTCGGCTTACTGAGTTCAGGATGACCGGACGAGGGGGCTGAGAGGAAAGAGCTGTAATACTGGCAGCTAAAGCGGCTGCAATTCCTGAGGACCGCTGTTAGCCGACTATCTTCCGTGACGGTGAGAAGGGGTCTCACCTGCGCTGTTTATTCGTCTGTCTGTGGATTCGCGGGATGCTTGACAAGGCTAGCAGAGGGTCTTCACGGCATGAACAGTCCACCGAACAACGAAACATGTGCTACGACGGTCGGGGAAAGGTCGAGAGAAACGACCCCCGATGATGGTGGTGTCGGCTGCTATAGGTGGACGATTCGGCGGGGACGCTTTCGAGGTTCTGCAGAGAACAACCAGGCCGGGGCGACGGTCTGGAAGTGGTGTGGACCATATTGATCAGGACATCAGAGGCGCTCCGGTCAGATTAGAGATTCTTGCCACAATACACTCACCCCGCGTAGCGAAGAGGCCTCGTATAACCGAGTAGCCATTTAGCAGCAGATCTTTTGAGTGCCTGAACACCGATAGCGAGAAACATACCGGACTTGTCATCTGATCATCCCATGGGAAGCCGTCCTAACTTTGCTACAAAGACCCACATCGCTGTCAGTGTGGGTGCTTGGACCTTGCGATGGCGAGATCGTCGTCATGTAGCCGAGTGGCTCAGGCGTACCAAAGTCTTCACCACCGAGGCATGTCCGTTCACCCGGTCGATCAAGTAAAAAGACACAACATATATTTACTATACACAACAAGATCATCGTCAGACAGAAAAATCTGAGGGCGTCGGTGGACATACCAAGTAGGACACTTCCAAGGTGATGTTACAAAACAAATCCAAGATCAGAAATACACTGGCGTAGAAAAGAGAAGCTACAGAACGGCACAAATAACAGAAGGATAACGGGATGAGGCAACAGGTGAAAGCATATAACACAATGAGAGGCCCCAGCGACGGCTGGGCATACTTCGAAAGGAAAGGAGGGCGCTTATGGGTTCGTATGATACAGAGATGGTGGCATAATTCGATGAGAAGGAAC